GTATTTACTCATATGACCATCTCCAGTGGCCTAGTTAGCGGAGCGTCTTGCATACGGTATTACGCATGAATGCTGATTATCGCATTCTTAACCTCATTGCGTGTCCATGTGTTGTCATCTTTGCTCTTTCACTGCAAAACACTTTTCGCAAGTCTCCAGGCACCTAGGTAATGACTTAAATTTTCAATCCCCAAATTTGATCCTCAACAGTCCCCGTTTGTGTACTGATCCCCACAACTGTACCTTCCGGACCTGAAAGGGACACACTCGTCTGTTGAAGAATCTGCCACACTTCCCACATGCCTTCGCAGGGCTGTGCTGCATTCACAGACCGACAGCCTGGATGACCAGCAATGGGCAGACAGAGCTGCTAGCTTCAGACCTCACCTCGCTTCACTGTGCGCATGTTTTATATGCAGATACCGCGACGTCGTGAATATTAATCGGAATCAAACATCACAAAGTGTACACCCCTTAATTAAAAGTGAAGTAATTATTAAATCGAGGCCGCGCCATAGCTCAAGCTGTTAGTCTCGGGCTTCCCACTGCGGCGGCCCGGGTTCGACCCCGGGTGTGGTCAAGTGGGATTTGTGGTGGACAAAGTGGAGCTGAGACAGGTTTTCTCCGAGTACTTCGGTTTCCCCTGCCAATCTTCATTCCACAAATTGCTTCACAATCACCCTCACCTATCATCTGGGGCTGGTACAATAGGCCAGAAGTGGCCGCAGTATAAGGGACTTAGTCCCACCCCACTAGCAATAAAAAATTATTAAATCTGCTTATTCAGTGAACTGTGGACGTTTCTCTTTGTGGTGAAGGTTTAGGAAACTAAACGCAAAACAATACAGTTTGTTTTCATATTTTGTCCTTTTGAGTTATGACACCTTTTTTAAAGGGTAAAGACAGAGGCCCTATGTTGCTCCTACATTTTCGCATCCCAGACCACGAAAAAAGCACAAGAAACTGCATGTTTATGCAACGCAATTACGGTAAATGAACATCAGCACCAAAGAAGGAAACTGCATAAGAAGCTGAGCATTTTAAAATGTGCCATCAATTTTCTGCTTTGTTGCCTAAGAGAAGTTGAACTGTGACTGGCCCAATGTACAGGTCTCGAGAGCCGTTAACAAAGACTTTATTCCGTCTTGCTCCATCTTATCTGTGTGTAATTCTGAGTGGGCGCCATGCGCAAGATAAAGCTCCAGCGATTCTTAGTTCATTAACGTATAACATTAATACGTATAGGTGCATATCAAGTGACCTGCTTCGGTGTGTTCCTGTGGCTGTTCTTCAAGTGCGGTGTTCAGGTATGTTCACAGGCCAGTTCTTCAAGTGCGGTGTTCAGGTATGTTCACAGGCCAGTTCTTCAAGTGCTGTGTTCAGGTATGTTCACAGGCCTGTTCTTCAAGTGCTCTGTTCGGGTATGTTCACACGGCTGTTCTTCAAGTGCTCTGTTCAGGTATGTTCACACGACTGTTCTTCAAGTGCTATGTTCAGGTATGTTCACACGCCAGTTATTCAAGTGCTGTGTTCAGGTATGTTCACACGCCAGTTCTTCAAGTGCTGTGTTCAGGTATGTTCACACGCCAGTTCTTCAAGTGCTGTGTTCAGGTATGTTCACACGGCTGTTCTTCAAGTGCTGTGTTCAGGTATGTTCACACGGCTGTTCTTCAAGTGCTGTGTTCAGGTATGTTCACACGGCTGTTCTTCAAGTGCTGTGTTCAGGTATGTTCACACGGCTGTTCTTCAAGTGCTGTGTTCAGGTATGTTCACACGGCTGTTCTTCAAGTGCTGTGTTCAGGTATGTTCACAGGGCTGTTCTTCAAGTGCTGTGTTCAGGTATGTTCACACGGCTGTTCTTCAAGTGCTGTGTTCAGGTATGTTCACACGGCTGTTCTTCAAGTGCTGTGTTCAGGTATGTTCACAGGCCAGTTCTTCAAGTGCGGTGTTCAGGTATGTTCACACGGCTGTTCTTCAAGTGCTGTGTTCAGGTATGTTCACACGGCTGTTCTTCAAGTGCTGTGTTCAGGTATGTTCACACGGCTGTTCTTCAAGTGCTGTGTTCAGGTATGTTCACACGGCTGTTCTTCAAGTGCTGTGTTCAGGTATGTTCACACGGCTGTTCTTCAAGTGCTGTGTTCAGGTATGTTCACACGGCTGTTCTTCAAGTGCTGTGTTCAGGTATGTTCACACGGCTGTTCTTCAAGTGCTGTGTTCAGGTATGTTCACACGGCTGTTCTTCAAGTGCTTTGTTCAGGTATGTTCACAGGCCTGTTCAAGTGCTTTGTTCAGGTATGTTCACAGGCCTGTTCAGGTATTTTCACACGGCTGTTCAAGTGCTCTGTTCAGATGTGTTCACACACCTGTTCAAGTACTCTTTTCAGGTGTGTTCACACAGCTGTTCAAATGCTCTGTTCAGGTGTGTTCACACGGCTGTTCAAGTGCTGTGTTCAAGTACGTTCACACAGTTGTTCTTCAGTTAGTCGCTGTACTTAATTAAGTAAGCATCACGCCATTAAGACGTGTGGGAGTGGAGGTATAATTCCATCATTGTTGACCTCGAGACTGTATGAAGCTGAGCGGCCAGCTTCATGTCTTTTCAACAGCGTGTACACCGGCTCTGGGGCCCACCCTGCTTCNGTGACCAAGGTGTAAAGCTGACCACTCACCTCCAGCCACTGCCGAGGTCAAGAAGGATGGAGCTATACCTCCACTCCCCTATATGCCTTCATGGCGTAGTGCTTAATTAATTAAGCACACGGTTAATTTTATCTTTATTTATTTTGAATTTGATTTTGAAAATACCGCCCTCCCCCGAAAATAAATATTTACGCAGCCTAATCATTTCGAATATCCTCTTTTCAGAACAAGGTCCTTCCGAGATGACTGAACTGTTTCGAGGTTTTAATGAAAGCGTCCTCAGTGAGCTGGAATGCCCCATCTGCACGGAGTACATGACTCCGCCCATCACATTATGCGCCAACGGCCACAATATCTGTCGTAACTGCAGATCGAAGATTGACAAATGCCCCAGTTGTAGATCAGCATTCCTTGACACAAGGAACGTTTCTCTAGAGAACATTGCCAGACTTCAAAAATATCCTTGTACAAATCGCCACGTTGGCTGCAATGCCGTCTTATCAATGGAATTCATTGAGAAGCATCAGATAGGGTGTGCCTTCGCTTCATATCAATGTCCCGTTAACAATATTCCAGGCATAAATTGTTCCTGGGAAGGGATACCAAAGAATTTCAAATCTCATATCAAGAAAGTTCACAGAGAGTTTGTGATCGAAGGGAATTCAATTTCGTGCGGAACCGGAACTAGAGCCGCTGTGTGGTTTACAATGAGGGAAATATTTCTAAACTACCAATGTGTGCAGGGAAATAAGTGGTACAGTGCAGTTCAACATGTAGTAACCAGTAACACGGACTTGAGATTTAAGTGTAGATACAAACTGCGGGCTGACGATGGTATTGAGGAGTTAACAGAGACGCATAAAGTTCACAGTTGGAAGCAGGATTTTCAGTCTATTTTTAAATGTGGGAGATGCTTTCGTCATGATGACGAAGTGATCAAATGTTTCTTGAAAGATGAAGAACTTGATTTAACTCTTGATATTATTAAAATAGAGTAACCTCTGTGCATGAAGACGTAGAGGTGGTGAGTGGTGATACTGCTTCTGACTTTCATAACTTTGTTACTGTATTTAGGTAGGCGAAACAATAAACTCAAATTAGCCGTCATTCCTAATAACCACTTCCCCTACGCATGACTTCCCCCACTCCAGCAAATTGCTATTCTATTTCTATGCAGGAATCGGGATAGCTCAGTCGGTATAGAGGCGGACTGGACCGCCCGGTTCGATTCCCACCAGTGCAAAGCGTCTAGACCGGCTCTGGGGCCCACTCAACCTCCTATCCAATGGGTACCGGATGCTGTTTCGACGGGGATAAAGGGTCAGGAGCGTGAAGCTGACCACTGACTTCCATCTAGTGTCGACGTCAAAAAAGGTGGACCTGTACCTTCACTCCCCTTAACTATTTATTACAGGGACAGATTGACCTTTATTGCTATTTATGCATTGATAGAGGGGACGTGTACGTAGAATGAGGGGGCAGGCAGCAGGTTCAAATTCCAACTACATATGTACATTCTTTGCCTGACCCGGGTATAGATGGAGGTCAATGGTTGAGTTCACGCTGCGGATGATTTGCTCTCCCGATGCTGGCTGTAGATGGAAATGAGTGAACCGTAGAAGAGTGACGGACGTTGTGAAAATAAAACAGACACAGCGTTATGCATCTCGTTTCTTTACATTGACTTTAAATTGTCTAATGGGATGCGACACCGTGTAGTTTCGTACTGGTATCAACGTTTCAGAAGAACCAGCAACCTCCAATGCTAGCGTATAAATGTTTAGGAGGGGTCAATTGCCTCTATGTTCATGATAGAAGTTTTTCTACCCTTCAAGGTACAGGCAGTAGGTTCTCCTGTCGGCATCTGTCAACCGAACTACACGATATCATATCCCAAAAGACAGTAATCATAAGATTTTTATTACTTCATTTCTTTCACTGTGGATCACCAATGAAACAATGGATTCTCCATCTGTACGAGAAAATACTACGCTATACGCGAAAGATAAAGAATATAATTATTGCGATATTTATTTTAAGTGCTTTACTGACGTCGGATAAGATAAAAGATTTAGAGAATGACTAATCAGTGCCACAGTCGCATGTGATATGGTGCAAACCGGTTGTAATATTATCTGAGTGTTAAGAATAGTTGGAATTTGAACCCACTGACACACGTGCTGCAGAATGTGTATAGGTTATAACAGACTTAGTTACAGCGCATCGGACCGTCTCTGTGGTCTAGTGGTCAGAGGTCCTGCCTACAGATCCAGAGGTCCTGGTTCGATTCCCGGCGTTACCAGATATTCTGTAAAGTAGTGGGTCTGGAACGGGGTCCACTCAGCCTCATGAGGATAACTGAGGAGCTATTTCAAGGAAATATCGGCTCCGGGCTAGAAAACCGAGATTAACGGCCGTGGGGATTCGTTGCGCTGACCACGCGACACCCTCTATGCGCTAAAGTTGGCACTAACTTCGCCGACAAGCGGCGGTCGCTTGTATTTCCAATGCTTGCTGTTACTTTCAATTTCCAAAATCCTAGCCCCCATCCCAGCCTACCTTATGACCCTCTTCGTAGGCATGTTGGACTAATGTCGATTTCTCTGGAAGTCCCTCATTGAGATTGTTAGCTAGGTTTGTTGCGTAGAAATGTTAACCTCCCTTCCTATCTTAATTTCAGTTCTGCCGTTGTGTTATCACAGTTTTTACTGAATATTGTAGAGTGTAGAGACGTTATTTAGCGAAGACCGCGAAGGAGGCGAATATACTAGAGACGTTTCTAGGCAACGGCTCGGTAAACACATTCCCGCAGCAACGAATCGACGCGCAACAATAGAAGTGCTGTTGGAACGGGGTGTTTCTACGTGGTCCGTGCCGAGGAATTATGTTGAAGACAGTTTGGGCGTCCAGGTCAAACCCTTGTGGAGGTGGGGTTGAATACCTCCACCGTGAATGAATGTATAAGGGGTGGGCCTTCTTGGCCCTTGTACCGCGACCACCGTGACCCTGCGAGTCCCAGGAGGCGACGAAGTGGGAAGTCTCAAACCTGAGACAGTAAAATATGGTCGCGAGTCCCATGGGACTCGTACCGGAGAAGACTGCGCTGGCAAGGACCAGCAGCATATACAAAAAACAGACCTGCGCTCTCGACAGAGAAGGCGCCCCACAAAAACAAGACCGTAACTGTCAAACAGTAATAAATATCTGGTCATGAGCCCCCTTGCTGACTGACTGACCGTCAGTCGCAATGTTATTTCGACTCTGACCAGGTAAGTTCTGTACGGGAGTCTGTGATGAGAGGGCATGTGCGCGTGAAGCTGAAAAATCTCCACTGTTAGAAGCCGTTGCTAGGGAACAGCTGGTGAAGGCAGCAGGAAGGGAAAGGCTTCTCGGGTGCTGTGGTGATTTGTGAAATGTGCAGATTAGCGGTGGCGTTGTAATTACCTGTAGCTCCGAGTAATGTGTATAAGTGGTCTGTAAATCTACTCACCAATCAAAATACTGTCTATAGTCACATATCACGTGATAGTATTTTCCTGTTATCTCCGACAGTCTGGTGTTAGATATTAATATACCTGTAGTTATACTGATGTGGATGACAGTGGCCGCGCGGCCTAAGGCATGAACTATCTTCGCCCGTTCGAACGCTGGGTCGTGGGTTCGAATCCCACGTTCGGCATGGATATCTGTGTGCGTTTATTTTGTACAATTCTTTACTGGAGTCCGTCGTAACACAACAACACAATGGTCAAGGTTAAAATTACCTTAGCTACATGTTTCGGCTTTTAAAGCCATCGTCAGGCAAACACATGATTACCATATACACACACTACTGAACTGAAATTGCGATGGTGAAGCTGGATACTTGGTAACTATTACATTATAAAATACAATGAATTATAAAATGAAAGTTATGGCATAAAATATGCTTACAAACTCTTCATGTGATATTGCATATTATGAAGTAATTTTGTTGCAATCATGTTGTTATGTTCCAGCGGAGATATTCTAGTATATTCTAGACTTGTATACATATAGTAAACTGCTTGGAGGCCCGTGGTATAGGTGTAGTATTATTTTGTTAATTGTTTGGTCGGTGTCTCATCTTACAAAGTTTCTTTATGGGGTGTCGAAAAGGAAGTGGAAGCCCCAGATTCGATATTTTTTGTTTCTCTTATTATTTTTCTGACACTACTTTCCGATACACCTGTTGCATTTGCTACTTCCACTCCTATGTTTTTCACTGTATTGTTGGCCCAGCCTCTTTCATATTTTTATATTACATTACTATCAATTTCTCTTGATTGGGAATGCAACACTTTTCCACTCAATTTACTTCGTGTAGGTGTCATGTTAAAGGAGATAGAAAAAATGTACAAATACAAATAAACAATTAAATAAAATGTTAACACAGTAAATAGAGAATAATACACTCAAATAAGACTCCTAGAGTCAAAACTATTTAACTTGACTGTACAAGGAAGACTGCTTTTAACTGAACTTGAGACCTCTGCTCGCACTGAATACAAACGAATGACTAATCACAACACCCCTCAACTTTCACGAATGGACCTGCCCATCCACTGCGCAGCTTTTCCTGGACTGTCACTTCTAAATACCTGGGCTGTACTCTCCGCTCTGTTGCGAATACACATTGTTTATGCTGTCCTGTGTGTGCAAGTAGCGGCTTTGGGGCAGGCTCAACCCCAGTCCCAGGAGTCGTACCCATTGTGACCAAGCTCCATACAAAGGGATGTAGAGCCATAGATATACCGACAGGGGGTTTCCAATGATTGAGGTTAGCTATTTCTAAGGGACCCAACAGAGTATGTGTCTCCCATCTACTCACCTGAGGACGGAAACAAATCCAGTTTCCGAAGCGTTGTGTTGTTTAGAATACCAGACGATGGACAAAGTCCAAAAATCCAGTAATTCTGGCCGTTATACACCATCGTCAGGACCCTTCAGAATGTATATGGATGCGGTAGTGACCAACAGCAGGTTATATGAAACGCACGGAACGCCAATTAGGATAGTCTGTGTTGCGGCCTTGTCACCTGCCGAAAATAAAGTCAGAAGCGTTACCGATTGAGCCATCTTACTCGGTGTCTCAAAATCGATCGTTTCGAATTTATCATTCACGTATTTTCCCGCCATGAGAGGTTATAAATTATGCAAATGATGAAGTGTTATTAGGGCTTAAGTGTGCAGAATGGTTTAGAGGCAGAGTTCGGGTGTTACGGGGTTCGAATCTTGGCTTGGAAACTCCAATCCTGAATGATGCTCTCTGTGGTTTCTTCAGTCCCTCCAGGCAGGTGTTGGGTTAGAACCTCGATAATTTGTGATGAAAATATGAGCATTTGCTGCTACTGTCTGTTGCCGTTAATATACGATAATTTATTCTCACGTACTTTGTATTTAGTTTATGAAATTCTGTGCTTTCAATAAAACTCATATACATAGAGTTATTAATTTCTCATTTTATCCGGCCCGTTGAAAGTGCTGAATTACCTAATGTGGCCCGCGTTTCGAAAAGTTTGGAGACCCCTGGTCTAGTGGTTAGAGTTCCTGGCTACAGATCCAGAGGTCCGGATTCGATTCCCGGCGCTACTATATTTTATGATAAGTCTTCATGGGACGCGCGAGTGCTACCCACGCGAGGAACCACCCTGAAATCGTCTATTTCCATTGGGTGTTCGTTCCTTCATATCAAAACTTTCCCCTTGATTTGTGCGTATGTCTCTTACAAAGCGCACTCTGGAAGGGCTGGCTGACGGATGCGACACACACACTAGTCTGATCTCATCCCGTTTCCGGTCAGCCATCCTGTTGACCATCACTTCCGTTCCAATGCACATGAGGCTAAAACTGGTTGCCTAACGCTGGCATAACAGTCCCATGCATCTCGGGATTACTAAGATTGTACTGTAACTCCATGGACCCGAGTCCTTGCTGAGAAGCTAAGAGTTGCTCAGCTTCTCAAGAAATTCCCAACATATTGTTCAGAAGAGCCCGCCACTGGTCACATTTCTGAGCCAGCTGAATCCAGTCCACATCGTTTCATCTTCTGTCTTCAAGATAAGACAAAAGTAAGACAGGTAATGTTG